TCCCATGCACACACATGGGGGTCCTGTTTACCTGTGATACTTAGAATCAGGGCTGAGATCAGGGTACCCAGAGTCCACATCCAGGGAGGTCCTGCTGTAGCCATGGCCTCTGCACCTGAGGGGGCCAGAGGATGGGGAGGCCCCGTGACTCTGGGAGCCCTTAACCCACTTTCCCTCCCTATTTCTGGGCAGTGAGGGACCAGGAGGACATTGCCCCACCATCTGAGCCAAGATGAGACCCAGGGAACTAGAGTTCAGGGCAGAGGACGTTTCCGCGAGGAGGGAGGACAGAGAGAAAGAGGGTGCCTTCAAGATCAGAGCCACACGCGGGGTCGCTTCTCCGTCCCTGCCTGCTGAGCACCCTCCAGGCCTCACCTGCCGCACTTCCCCGCGTCCCCGGGCAGTGGGTGGGGGACCTGCTCCCAGCTCAGCCGCAGACGTCTCGGCCGAGCTGCCTCCTGCCGCCTCCTCCTCCTCCCGGGCTCGGGCGCAGTGCTGGGTTATAACCACCCACTGGTCCCTGGGGCGCATTCCCCGGTAGTGAGGCGCCAGCCGATCTGCCCGGCCGCCGCTCCTCCTGCCTCCCCTCACCTCCGCCTCCGGAGCCCCCCACACCCATCCCGAGGCCACGCCCTCCGCCCTGGCCCCGGGATGGGGAGGGTCTCGGAGGTCGCGGGCCGCTCCCCCGCCGCGGCTGCCCTGGGCTCCGGTCGCCCTGCTTGGCTGGAGGCTTTCTTCCTTTCTTCTCTGAGTTTTTCACGCGCTCAGCGGCCCCGCACCCCGGACCCGCGCTTCTCTTCCCGTCCTTCCTCCAGACTCTTCGCTCTCCCGCCTCTGAAGTTTTGCCTCCAGATATTTGGTCTCCCGCCAAGTCAGTCTCTCTCCCCCCAACCGCCACACCCCTCTTAGGATCTCTTGTGTCTCAGTGTCCCTGTCATTCCGTGTCCCTGTGTCTTGCTGTTCTCTGTGATTCTGTCTTTTGCAATGGTCTGAATGCTCTGCTTGTCAAATCTACCTTAGAATCCTCAAACCTTTATTTTCCTCGATTTCCTTCTGTTTTGTAACATTCCAGCTCTTTGGCAGCATAACTGAAAAGCAGGCAACCATGCATATTTGAAGTGTGCAATTGGATGAGATTTTACATCAACACGCACGAAACGTGACTATAGTCAAGATGATGAAGGATCCATCGCCTGCTGCTCCTCAGGCCCTTTCTGTAGCCTGCACCTGTGTCTCGATTTGTATCTTTCCTTCTCCATCTTATACCTCTTTTCTCTGGGACTGATTCTTCTCAATCTGTGTCTGTCTCCTTTCTTCTCTCTGTGTCACTGGTTGGGTGTTGGTCTCTCTGTATCTTCATGTATCTGTCTCCCTCATTCTGGGTTTTGGTCAGGGGAGACCCAGGCCACTGAGCAGAGGAACCCCTCAGCCCCTCGTTCTGCCCCTCTCCCTGGGGCCCAGGACATGGGGCAGAAAAAGACAGGGACTCAGCCTGGGGCACCCCACAGGTGCCTTGGCCCGGATGGTGACAGAGTTGAGCAAGGCTGCCTATGGATTGGAAAAGAGGCCAAGAGCCAGGATATGGGGCGGGTGGCTCTTGGCCCTTCAGGAAATGGGGCACTGGGTGGGGAGCCTGAACCGCGGTTTCTCCCTGCCCAGTCCTGGCATGTGGCGCTACCCCTCCTGACCTCTTTATGTCTGCCCCCAACTCCATGTACAGACTCCTGCCTGCACTAGGAGATAAGAGTCAAAACGGTCATCTGCCATGTGCCAGACTCAGATCTGTCCTGAGCAAAATGACCTGAGATATGCAGTCCTCCCTGGGCTCTCACCTCCGAGGGCAGGTACCTGGCTTCTGCAACCCAGCACCTGTCACATGAGAGGTTTTAGAGCCCAGAGGCTGGAAGTAGTGCACAGGGGAAAAAAATCTGAAGCTACGAACACCTGTGCTGAGGTTTATTTTGTTATGGGCATTGATATTTCATGCACAACGAGCGACCCACTTCTCTGGGTGTTTCCGCCCCACTTCTGTGGTCTTTTAAGTTCAGTTTGCAAAACTTTTAATTCTATATTTATCTTAACAGTCACTTTTATGGAGCTTTACAATACTGTTTGTTCCCATTTATAAACTAATTAAAAGCCTTTAAACATCTTAAACCACATTTCTAAAACCTATACATTCGATGTCTTCCAAAAGTCCTTAATTTTTAGACCCAATATCAAGGATTTCAGTAAGTTTGTGCATCTAATTGTATTGCAGTTATAAATACAATTAACAGTGCATCCTTCCAAATATCCCAATATTGGATGTAAATTGACAACTTAAAAATCACAAATCAGTGAATTACACATTTTAAGCTGAAGTCGTAAGGCTATCCCTATAGAAAGAAAAACTCTCTTAGACAAAAAGAAAAGTATCATAAATGCCAAATGCAAGAGGTTCTGCTTCAAAATAATTCATGCAAAGGGGTGGGCTTTAAAGGCTTCTCCACTTAATTCTAACACATACCAGCATTAAAAGAAAACTTAAGTGTAGAAGAGCAGTTAGGAGCCCACCCCATGGCAACAGTCCCTTGGCATCTAAATGCTGGCCTGGCCACCACCAGTTGTGAAACTTTGGCTGCGCCACGGACCCTCTCTGTGCCTTGGTTTCCCCAACTGTAAATGGGAATGATAACGTGTGGGAGACCAACCTTGTACGTGACTGAGTCACACTCCCCGGCTGGGTGCTGAGGCTCTCAGTCGCAGAGATGTGGCAGAGCTTTCCCCACCCTTCTTGGGTGCGAGGGTCGGTGTCTCGTGCATGGGTGTGTCTTGCTACAGTCCCAGGGGTGAAGCGACCGCTCACCTGTTCCTTTGTAATAGAACCCCTTGCCCTGTTTAGGATAGAATCTTCCATGGAAGTGCCTGTGTGTGTCCCCTCCTCTTACTGTGCCCTTGGGTGTGGCCTACCCAGGTGTCAGTCAACCTGCTGACAGTGGACATCATGAAGATAGACTCAGCCCCCTGAAACCTGACCCCTTGCCTCATTTGAATAGCTTCTCCTCAATAAAAGGGGTCAGCGCGTGATCTCGCTCTCTTTCTGCGGACCCTTAAGGTCAGAGAAGCCGTCACAGCGACCCCAGAGAAAAAGGTATTTGTGTCTCTTGTGTGGTTATTTCGTGCAGCCCAGTTAGCCCAGTTTAACTGGAGTGACCCCTGAGCCTTTTAGTTGCGAACCGAAACCCGGCAATAACGGTACCTTAGAACAGTGTCTGGCACGGCTTCTTATTGTGGGAGATGGTCGGTATTCTCATTATCCATTAAGGAAGAAGCTTCCCTCTCCATTAACTGAGGTTGACTTTGTGCCACGACACTCGGCTGGATCAGGTCACTCCAGGTGAATTGGGCTGGCTACTAAATAACCACGCAGAGACAGAAATACCTTTTTTGGGGTTTTGTGATGGCTCCTCGACCTCAGCTTCCACAAAGGAGGCAAGAGAGGCAGGTGAAAAGAGAGACCACGCCTGACACCATCCTATTTATTGAGGGGAAGGCATTTGAGAAAGTTCAACCCAAATAAGGCAAGGGACTGGGTTTCAGGGGGTTGCTTGGTGATGTCTTGTGATTGACAGCTTGGAAATTCACATGCATCTCAGGGGCTGTGTGGGGATCATAGGCAGAGCGAGCAAGAAGGACACATAGGTCGCAGAGCCCAGTCAGAGCAGCAGTGTCAGTCAGTCCCCTCCTGTGCTCAAAGGTGCATAGCCCACACACCCAGCCCATTGCTGGTGTGACAACTGTGTTCTGGGCAGTCATCGAGTGGGTTTCTCCTGGTGACCCTGGGAGTTACTATTCATAACTCTTAGTGGGCGTCAGGGGTGGGTGGAGGTGGCTGGGGCCATGCCCAGGGCTTCCTGTTCCGTCTGCTCACTGGAGTTAGCACTTTCATTTGGCCCCTGGATGAAATGTCATGGTTCTTTGGTTCATGCGTGTGCGTGTGTCTGTGTGTGTGTGTGTGTGTGCGTGTGCACGCATGTGTAGTGGTGGGGATGAGACCCAGGGTCTCATGCATGATAGGCAAGCACTCTACCATGGAGCCACACCCCCAGCCCTTTTTATTTTATCTCGAGACCCTGCTAAGTTGCCCAGGCAGGCCTTGAACTTGTGATTTTCCTGCCTCTGTCACCCGAGTAGCTGGGATTATAGGTGTGTGTGTGTGTGCCACTATGCCTGACTGGTTCTTTGAGTCTTAAGGCAAAGATCTTAAAGTCTTTCTAAGACCCAGGTCTGCCCTTGTCTTTCTCCTCTGAGCCCTCAGCATCAAGTCCAAGTTCTTCTGCTGACACTCAACGGCATCCTCTTCCACTGACCTTCATTTCCCGCCATGTCACCCACTTCCACCTCAAGCCCCAGCCTCCACCATGCAGGGTGGTCCTCAGGTCTCTCTCCCCCACGTGCTTGTCTGCAGTTCTCTTATGAAGCCCCCATGCACCCTACCTTCTACTTGTGGCAAACTCACATCCAGTCTCCGTTCTCCAGCCCTGCCAGTCCCAGCCCCAGCTCAGCCTCATCCTCTCTCCCTGCACCATTATCCCAACTCCTCCCTGCCCCCTGGCTCCAGTCTCTCCCCTCAGATCCGTCCTGCATATGGCCCCAGTGCTGCTCTTGCTCATAACACTTCTATGGCTCCCCATTACCCTTAGGGAAACTCCCAGCTTCTCAAGCTGGTGTCTGAGGTCCTTTGAGATCTGGCCTCTGCCATCCTCTCCCATGTTACCCTCCACCACTCCCACTCACACACAGTGGTCTCCTAACCCTCTCTCATCCCTCTTTTGCTGCTACAAGGGGAGCTTAGGAGAGACAGAGCCATCCCTGAGGGCTAATGCAAGGTGGATGAGTCAAGGGTAGCTTCCTGGAGGGGCTGAAATGAAATTGGAGTGTAAAGGAAAAATGAGAAAATCTGGGCTTCCAAGAGGCAGATGTGGAATAAAAGCGAAAAGCACCTTAGTAATAAAATTCATCCTTTATTGGGCGCATGCCGGGCCAGGCACTGTTACATGTATTTCACGTGCTTGTAACCTCACATCGTCCCAGTAGCCCCATCCCATGAGGAATACACTGTTTAATGTACTCTGTAAAGGAAGGTACTGCCCGAGGATAGCAAACTGGCCCTCCAGCTCAGTATCTGCCAGTATTGGACCAGCATTCTGTCTGCAGGAAGGACAAGCCCAGGCAGGGAGAGTGGCCTAGAGGGGTCTGGGTTCTCTTAGTAGTGGGGGAAGACTGCAGCCCTGTCCTTGCTCTCCCACCCCAGTGGAGCAAGGGAGGAGCTGGGGTCAAATCAGGGAGGATTTGTGCTCTTGCATCATTGCTTTATGAAGCGTCAAGGGTCACAACCAGGCAGGTGCGGAAGGAAGGCAAGGTCAGGGGAAGAGAAATTCTGGAGCCAGCCAGTAGGGTCATAGGTCAAGAGTCGGGGATATCACATGTCAGGGTCATTTGGCTTGAATGGTTTTCCGGATCCAGTGGGTATATCTGCAGACGTCGGTGTAGACTCCTGGCTTCTCCTTTGATCCACATGGGACGTTACCCCATGACACAAGGCCTCGCAGGCGGTTTCCACATACCAGCGGACCCCCAGAATCACCCTGTGGGAAAGAGGGAGAAAGTCAGGTGCAGCAACCTGGAAGGGGGGGACGGACAGACAAGGCTCACATGGAGCAGAGTTAGAGGTACTCAGAGATGGAATGGATGACTCAGGGAGAGAGAAAGACGGAGACGCCCGCGGGGTCACCCTGCTCCAGAGCATGGTCATCTCCAAGCAGAGCTCCGGATGGGCGCCATGTGTGAGGCAGAGCAGCTCCGTGCACCACCTGCCTCCTTCGTGTGTCTTCTCTGGTTTGGATCCCTCCTTCTCCGTCCTTCTCTCTGCATTTCCTGCTTCTGACGACTATCTTAATCGCTGCCTGTCCCAGCTCCCTCCCAGCCCATCTCTCAGGCTCCCTACAGTTCTGTTTTGGTCTCTCTTCTTGTCTCTGGCTGTGTGTTTGTGTCTCCGTCCTCGGCTGTGGAACTGGCAGGTCGCGGTGGCCTCACCTGGCAGGAATCCTTCCCGTACTTCTCGTCGCCTGCGCACACCATGTTGGGGGTGATCTGGCCAGGATAGGCCCGCTCGCACTCCTCGGGCGGCACCAGGTGGATGTATGCACACTGGATGGTGTCGGGGAAGTCGCCTGCCACGAGAGAGGGCGGGCTTGCTGGACGCCCCTCCCCGTCCTCCCCAGCATCCCTCCACAGTGTAAGGCCACCTGTTGGTCGCATTTCCCATTGTTCCCCTCTCCTGTGTGCCTCTCTGGCTTAGAACCAGTTCCATCGTCCCCGCCTCCTGATTGGTCGCTTTCCCCATCATCCTCACCTGCCATTGGCCCACCGTCCCAGGTGCCATCTCTGCCCACATCTCTTTCCCTACAGGCTTTCCCTTTTCTCTCCTCCACTTGTCTCCCTTCCTCCCATCCCCCCCTCAGCAGTTCCAGTTGGTTGGACTCTAGGACTTTCTTCCTCTCTCATCTCCCTCCTGAGCATTCACCTGTCCTTCATCAGCCCTTCTTGCCTATTTGTTCATCCGATTACTCGCCACCTGACCGTTGGTCCTGCCCTTCCCCATTGGCTCTTCATCCCCTGGTCCACAGCCCTCATTGGTCCTTTCCTTTTGACCCCACCCTTCTCCATTGCCTCTCAATTCCTATTGGCTCTTCATCAGGGAATCCGCCTTGTTCATTGGTGTTTCACTCCCAGACCCTCCTCCGTGGTTCCCACTGATCCATTGAACCTGTGCTTCCTCTGATCCTTCCTCTAATGACTCCCCTCAACCACTGGCCTTTTCCCATTTGACCCCTTTCCCACCAGCTGCCTGTACTCTGTTTGCATTTGGAATTCACATAACAGACTCCTCTGTTGATCGATCCCTCTTCTTCTATTAGTTCCTCCTCCATTTATCCATTCTTGCCCATAAGTGCATCTTGGGGACCGTTGGCCACCTTCCTGATTAGAATATTCCTACTGGTCAACCCTTGTCACTGACCCTTCCTTTTCCGGCCCATCTTTTCCATGCTGTTCATCCACTGGTCTGCTTTCCCCATTGGCTGTTCACCCACCGGCCCAGCTCCTAAGGATCCCTCTCACGGTGGTGCGCCCAGCAGACCTCACCACTAACCCATCTTCCCATGGCCCTTCATCTTCTGACCCACCTTCATTTTTGACCATTCACCCTTTGCTCACCTCCCCCATCGCCATTGGCCTGTTCCCCTGTCACCTCCCCTCACTCACCATCTGCGGTCTTGCCCCAGCCCAGGATGTGGCAGCTGGTGTGGTTGGCCAAGCAGTTCTTCTCCAGCGGCAGGGGCTGGATCCATTCAGAGAGTTTGACTGGGTATTCCAGACGCAGCAGCATGATGTCCTGGTCATGGGTGGCAGCGTTGTAGCCAGGGTGGGCCACAGCGCGGACGACAGGGCTCTGCTCCTGTGAGTTCTCCCGTTGCCGGAGGTTGTGCTTCCCCAGGTAGACTTGAAGCTTTCTGCAGGGGAAGCAGGCTGGGTCTTACCGGGGCCCATGGGCTGCGTCTGAAGTCGGGGAATCATGACTCACCTGCTCTGCTCCTCCCACAGCCTTCCAGAATACCCTGGGGGCTATCCGTGACTGTCTATTTCCTGCCCCACATCCAAGCTGTCCAGAGGCCCATTTGGCTGTGTGAGTTATATCCAGCCACTCACCTCCACCATTGCTACCATCTTGGTTTGAGCTGTCGTCTCTTACCTGGACTACCGCAGTGGCCTGCTTACTGCCTTTGTCTCTCTACAGTCCACCCTCCACAAAGCAGCCAGAGGGTTCTAACAAGGAAAGTCAGTCCTCTTGTGCTCACACCCCTCCTGCAACTCCCCGCTCAATCAGAGTGAAGGCCAAAGTTCTCTCCATGGTACAGACAGCATCTCCTCCTTCTCTCCCCCTCCTCCTCTTCCATCCACACTGGCTTCCCCTGAACACAACAGGGTTCCTCCCACCCCAGGGCCTTTGCAAGAGCTGCTTCTTGTGCCAGCAAGACGGGTATCTGCCTGGCTCTCTCCCTCAGCTCCTTCAAGTGTCACCTTCTCAGTAAAGCTTTCCCTCTGCCCAGTGAAAATGCAAATATCCAGCCCTGCTTTCCTTTTCACCAGAGAACCTGTCGCCGTCACCCGCCCACTGTGCATTTATTGCTAAATATTCTCTACTGCGTCTCCTCCTCCTGTAGCACTGCCGTCCAATACAGCTTGCCGCCATGATGTCATGTTCTCCACCTACGCTGTCCAGCACGTGGCCACCAGCCGCATGTGGACATTGAGAGCTCAAAATGTGCCTTTTTTCCCATTCATTTTTATTTAGTCAGCCCCTGGGGGCTGCTGGCCGTGGTGCTTGTTAGCTGGTGAGGCCCTAGGAGGTCAGCCCAGAGACTTTATTCTGTTCAGATACAGGATCCCCAGGGCTTCAACCAGCATCTGGTACGTGATACGTGTTTGATAGATATTTTTGAAACAAATCAAAGAATTCCTCCCTTGCTCAAAAGTCTCCCACTGCCCTCAGAAAAAAGTCCAAGCTGCTCAGCCTGGCCTTGGAGACCCCGTGGGATCCGCCTGCTCACCTCCCGCCCTTCTCTCCCACCACCTGCTGCCCTCCAGTGAACTAGTCACTCTTAGAAGATCCAAGATTGTTGGATCTTCAGGGGCCTCATTTTGGCATTTCCTGGACCTCCAATGCTCTTTCCCCTTCTTCCTTTGGCTACCAGTTCTCCTATTTTATGCCTCAGCTTGAATCACATTTCATGGAAAGTCTTTCCTGATTTCTCCCATCAAAAGTAGGAGCCCTGTTTTTTCCTTCTTTAGCCTTACGGTAATTATCTTGGATTTTGAAGATGTGTTTCTTAAAGATCTGACTTGCTACTTCTTTCTGCCCTGATGTGTCCCTGGCTGAAGCTCTACCACCAACTCAAATCTGGCACTTTGTGGTATTCTTAGTCATGTGCACCAAATGAGTGGATGGTGATGTTGGGGGTGACCCCGGGTCTCCCTGGGGGCCTTGGAGTTCCTGAGTCTGCATGATTCTGCATCCCCCACACGGGGAGTCCTGACAATTGGTTTCTAAATACCCGAATTGTCATTTACTACTCATCTGAGCTCAGTTTCCTCATCTGCTACTGCAGGGATTCCAGGACATGGGTGTAAACTGTGTTCTTCACTGTGTGATTTAACCCTGGTCTGCATTTAGCACTGAACGCGACAGCATCTGGAATCTAACTGGTGATCCTGAGGTCCTGGGCTGAGCCCCGGGCCCTCTGTGCTTCCCTGTCTAGAACTGCTCTTTGGATGATCCTGTCCAGTCCCATGTCTTTAAATACGATCTGTTTGTGGATGTAGCCTGAATTTTACCTACTCCTCTGAGTGCTCCCCTGAGTTTCAAGGGCCCACCTAGTGTCTCTGCTTAAACACCTTCAGGTAGCTCAAACTCACCTCAGCTGTAAGGAAATGTCTGATGTCCCCTTCCTGTATGACAGGACTCCCAGTTGTTCAGGGCAAGCACCTGGAGATCAGCCCTGCCTCCTGTCTCTCCAGTCCTTTGCTATCATGTCCTTGGTCTTAAAATACCTCCCAATTTCCCTCCATCCTCACTGCTACCTCCCTGGTCCAAGTCACCATCTCATGTCCCCAGGTGACAGCAACAGCCCCCACTTGGGGCTCCCTTAATCTCCTCTTGCCCTGTCCTCTTTCACATGGCTAGGTGCTCCCCAAAATGTAAACCTCACTCTGTTGAGTCCCACTGTAGTTAAGAGTTAAACCCCAACCCCCCCCCCCCCCAGCATGTCCTTCAGGGCCCATTAGAAGGCAAGTTCATGAGAGGAGCAATTCTGCCAGGCTTCCTGCCCCGGCACTGCTTGGTACAGTCAGTCCTCTGATCTGCGGATGCCACATCCACGGAGTCGACCAACCTTAGACTGGGGAAGAAAACTATCTATACTGATCATGTACAGAGTCTTTCTTTCTTGTCATTATTTCCTAAACAGCACAGTGGAACCACCATTTGCATAGCATTGACACTGTTTTAGGGATTAGCTGGGTGCAGTGGCTCAGCCTGTAATCCCAGTGGCTTGGGAGGCTGAGGCAGGGGGATTGTTGAGTTCAAAGCCAGCCTCAGAAACTCATGGAGGCCCTAAGCAAGATCCTGTCTCAAAATAAAAAATAAAAAGGGCTGGGGATGTGGCCCAGTGGTTAAGTGTCCCTAGGTTCAATCCCCACCACTAAAACAAAACAAAACATTGTCTCAGGAATTATAAGTAATCTAAAAAGTATTTAGGAGGATGTGCATAGGTTATATGCAAATACCACGTCATTCAATATTCAATATACCATTCTCGAGCACCTGAGAGTTATGCTGTCCTTATGGGATCCTGGAACCAACCCCTGAGAATTCCCAAGGATAATCAGTACTCCTTTAAGTACTATCTGGATGAACTTAGTCATGTGGGGGGGCAGGGGGTTGTGCAGGGACAGGTGGAGGCTTGGGTCTGCCTCCTCCTAAGCCTATGAGACACCTGAAGGTCTAATTGCTTCAGCTCATTCTGCAGCGCACAGACTCACGGTTTTTTGCAGTGGGCAGCTGTGAGGACCCACTGCGGGTGAATGAGGACCCCACCACAGAGCAGGTGGCCCGAGGTGTAGAGGGCAGCTTGGTAGGGGTGAGATGTCTTCTCACAGGGTCCACCATGGACCAACTTATTCTGCTCCTCTGCCCAGGCTGAGGGAGAAAGGGTCTGGGTCAGAGAGGAATCTGGGCATGCCCACCAGGCAGACCCACCAAGGTGACCCCAGTCAAGGCCATCGCCACTCCCCGCCCAAACCCAGCCCTGTGTCCATCTTCGTCCTCACCTTCTCCACCGCCCACTCCTTCCCCATCTCAGTGCCCATCCTCAAAGCCAAACTCATCCCTAAACTCTACCTCCAACCCCCGCTCCGGTCCTCCCCACCCCTTCTCCCCTCCTCACCCCATTCTTAACTCTTTCTCATTTTGAAGGCACCCCCCCCCGTCATGCCTTGGCACATCCCACCCTGCCGACTTCTTCCCCATGGACGGCAGACTCCACCACCAGCCTCCCCCATCTAGGTTTCTTTCCTCCCACCTGCAGCCACGAGGGTGAGCGCCACCATCAGTGTCTTCTTCAAGTCCATTCCTGGGGGAGAGGCCAGCGGTGCCTTAGTGCCCCAGCCTCCCCCTCATCCTCTCCTTCCTCTCCGCCTGCTCTGCTCCCCTGACCGTGACCTAGCCTTTCCCTCTGGCCTCCTGATCTTCTTTCCCCAAACCCATGCCTTCCCTCTGAGGGTCCCATGAAGGCAGGTGCCAAAGAGAATCCACAGCCACGTCTCCTGGGCCGGAGGCTCAAAGATTCTGAGTCGTGCTTTCTGCCTCTGCAAGCTCTAGATCACCCCTTGGAGGCAGGAGTTCAGCCAGAGGGTCCCTGACCTTCTTCCCAGCTGTGGGACTTCCCCTCTGCACCTTTGTTCTGTGCCGACCTTGTCACTCACCCCCACATCTGTAGGTTCTTACCTGCGGGTGGCCTGGGGCCTCCTAGCCACAGGTTTCTTGGGTGGGAGGAAAGGACAGTAGCTTATCACTCACGCAGACAGGGAGGCCAGGCCTGGAGAGTCCGGGAGCCCCTGGCAGAGAAATAGGGAGAGAAGACTCACAGAGCAGAACCGGTGTCTCCGAATCAGACACACAGGGAGCAGGTAGGGACGTGGGTGCTGCAGGGGCTGTGCACAGGACCTGCCTGGCTCCCTGGCCTCCTGGGAAGAGGCTGGGTCTGTCCCCAGACGCTCCCTGATACTTCCTTTTAACCCCTGTCTCCCCACGTCCTGGAGCCTAAAGGCTGACCCCACCCTTTTCCTCCTAACCCAGGCCACCCACAAGCATTCCTTCTGCCCCACACCTCGGCTCCTGGTGACCCCCTGACCCAGCTGTCAGGAAGGGAGTACTGATCCCAGAGTGCACTGGGGGTCTGGGCCCCAGGTCTGGGGGAGGAGGCTGGGCCTGGACCTCAGGTCTGAGGGAGGAGGCTGGGCCTGGACCCCGGGTCTGAGGGAGGAGGCTGGGCCTGGACCCCTGGGTCTGGGGGAGGAGGCTGGGCCTGGACCCCTGGGTCTGAGGGAGGAGGCTGGGCCTGGACCCCTGGGTCTGAGGGAGGAGGCTGGGCCTGGACCCTGGGTCTGAGGGAGGAGGCTGGGCCTGGACCCCTGGGTCTGAGGGAGGAGGCTGGGCCTGGACCCCTGGGTCTGAGGGAGGAGGCTGGGCCTGGATCCCGGGTCTGAGGGAGGAGGCTGGGCCTGGACCCCTGGGTCTGGGGGAGGAGGCTGGGCCTGGACCCCGGGTCTGAGGGAGGAGGCTGGGCCTGGATCCCGGGTCTGAGGGAGGAGGCTGGGCCTGGACCCCTGGGTCTGAGGGAGGAGGGCTGGGAATCAGGACTTTCAGGTCTGAGGGAGGAGGGCTGGAGTCTGGGGAGCAAGGTAAAGTGGAGTTTTTTCTCCTTCTTTTTAGACTTCTGAGTTTTTGAGAAGCTGACTGAGGATCCAAATGCCAGCCTCCCAGATAATCAAATGGAGGCCCTGCCTCAGGAGTCCCCCACCCTGTCTGTGAACTTCTGAGACCTGCAACCCTCACTCCTGGGTGGGGAGCACTGAGGCCCTGCACCAGCTGCCTGGGTTCAGTGGGGTTGGGGTGACTCACCTGCCCAGAAGTCCCTCTGTGGGTGCTGACGACCTCTGTGTCCCAGGAGAGTGTGAGCAGCCAGCAGTGAGAAAGGGTGTGTCCGCTCGCTGGCCCTGGCCCCCGGCGAGGGCTGGGGAGCAGGCCCAGGCACTGTGGGGAAAGGGCCCCAAACAATCCGGCTTTGTCCGCCCTGCACCCAGTGCCCTGCTCCCAGCAGCTCCGTTTCTCAACCTCTTTCCAGGCAGGCGGGTGGGAGGCTGTGTCAATGGCTTTCCTTTGTCCCTGTCTGATTGGCAGTCGGGCCAGGTCCTTGACTGCCCACCTGGTCCTGCCTGGGTGTTTCAGCTCTCTGGATCCTCCTGGCCCGCTCCTCTAAGTCTGGCCACCTTTGGGGTCTCTGGCTCCATCTCTCCATGTCTGTCTCTCTTCTCCCTCTCTGGTTTGTGTCTCTCTGACCTTTGCCTCTTTCTTGCTTTCTCTGCATCCCCCCCTCCCCGCCTTGGCTTGTTTTCTGCGGGTACCTGCAGGTTTCCTGGGAAGCGTG